AGTATACTGAGCAACACGAACCCCTCTAAAACTGGAGGTGATCTCAGGTGTTCCGGAAAGGTAAGCAGATCCTGCTCCACATGTGGCACACGTCGTGTTGCTCATGCAAGTACAAACTCGGTGATAAGTCTAATAAAAAAGATTCGAGGAAAAGAGGACGGGGGTATGGTTACGACAGTTATAACATATTCGTCGTCATCTGTGAAACAGATATTCCATAACAGTCAACCAACTCATGATGGCGTCCGTAACATTTTCGAAGGGATGACCTCAACTTCACCACTTGGGGCCCTTGGTTTAATAGTTTCTTATTCAGCAGCAAACCTCTATCAAGGAAATCATGATAGTAAATGCAAGCTCTGGAATATCGTATCAACTGGGAGATATATACTCCATTTGCAGACGCTGTTGGAATGTTGCTACATACAAATGGAAAGTTCACAATTGGGAAGCTGAAATCATCTCTTTTGTTGTAAAGTTTTGTTCTTGACCGACCATCGTTGTCATTTTCTAGATGTTACTCAATATACTAGTATGAGGCAGACTTAACTGTATCTGTTGTATCCCTAAGTTCCAGTTCGATGGGATAGATGAGTTCAACATAGTCACCAAACTTTTATTTAGTGAGAAGAAATCCTCTATATAGCGGAACGTGAAGTTAAAGGATAATGATAGCTTCTTTTAATTCTTCCTAGGAAGCTTCTGTATGAAGTCTGCTTCATATAAATAATGGAACAAGTCGGCAAGAAGAAGAGCACAGTTTGTTCCCATGATTGTTTGTTGAAAAACACGTCTCCCAAACGTAACAAATATGTTGTCAATTAAGAAATCAAGCATCTTGGTAATGTCAGTTTCAGAATATTTTTTGTTTGAATCGAAGTGGTTTTTTACAAAGTATGATTTGTCTCTATCTAAAACAAGATATTTGTATCTAAGTTGGCCAATCTTTTTTAGGAAACAAAGTAAGACAATTCTTTAAATGTGTCTTTTAGTTTGGAATGAGGAATACTTGTGTAAAGGGTAGAAAAGTCAAATGTTTTTATACTATTGCAAGAGAAAAGAGACTTAGATGGTATGTACTCTAACAGATTTATGAATGTTAAAGTATCCACATCTGATTCACTGCGGTAAATTCAGTACTGTTCAGACAATTCACTTACAGTCAATTAAGACCTGTTCAGTCTATGTTCAGACTGTTCAGTATTTTTTTGTTACCTGTACACATCAATTAATCAACATCATACTGAATTGTCTTAAATCCACTGAACAGTACTGAATTGACTGTAAGGGAATTGTCTGAACCGTACTGAATTTACCGCAGTGGATAAGTCTGAAAGTTGACTGAAAGTTAGAACATGACTTAATAATTTATTGTTCAGACCTTTCATATGATGTTAAGATCAAAATGACTTTATAAGACTAAAATGCATGTACTAGTGGTATGACAGGTGCTTAGCAATATTTGGGTATTTAAAGATCGATATAGCATGTTTATTCATATACCCATTTAGTTTTTTAATTCTAGTTTGTATCAACGACCTCACTGCCTTGACCCATTCCGAAAGAGTATTCATGTCTTCTTTTTCGCGTTTAGCCCATTACCTGGCATAATCCTAAAACTAAATCCATCACTGTTTTGAAGTGGTGTTTCCAATTTAGACCCACGATATTTCGGGCCTTTGGATAACACATTTCACAGAGAAGTGTTATTGACAATGTTATGTCAACACTGAGGTGTTGAGTTCGAAACCCGCCCGTAGCAAGGTGCGTTTTACTCCTTTTTTCATTGACTAGGATTGCCAATTTCCTGCCGCAGGTCGGCGATTCTTGCCGGGTACTCCGGCTTCCTGCACCAATAAAAACTAACCGCAATGATACAGTCAAGAGAGCAGAAATAGGCGTTGACATCAACAATCGATCGATCGGTAAGTATCTGAATGAAAAAAATAACGTTATAATTTGTTTCATTTAATGAAAATTAGTATGAAATGTAAAATACAGCAGTTAAAATAAATTGACTTAACCTCAAATAATAGATATTGACCAAGTTCGTTGGAGTTAGTCAAATTTTGCAGCGGTTTGTTTAAATTCAAGCGATCGATTGATTTTTTTGTTAAAGAATTCCAAATCAATAATAATATTTATTTCGGCTTTTGAATAAATTGTAGCCATATGAAAAAGGACAACGATAAAAATCTTTTGATTTGGTCTCCACCCCATGAATCAGTTTTGTGAATTTACCGATTATGTCCTATTTTTTACCGATTGTGTCATTTTGACTGAGTACGGATTCGGGTGACGGGTGATGCATGCATAGCAGGAGACGATATTACCCTGTCGACGAACCTGAATGCATAGCAGGAGACGATATTACCCTGTCGACGAACCTGAATGCATAGCAGGAGACGATATTACCCTGTCGACGAACCTGAATGCATAGCAGGAGACGATATTACCCTGTCGACGAACCTGAATGCATAGCAGGAGACGATATTACCCTGTCGACGAACCTGAATGCATAGCAGGAGACGATATTACCCTGTCGACGAACCTGAATGCATAGCAGGAGACAATATTACCCTGTCGACGAACCTGAATGCATAGCAGGAGACGATATTACCCTGTCGACGAACCTGAATGCATAGCAGGAGACGATATTACCTTGTCGACGAACCTGAATGCATAGCAGGAGACGATATTACACTGTCGACGAACCTGAATGTATAGCAGGAGACGATATTACCCTGTCGACGAACCTGAATGCATAGCAGGAGACGATATTACCCTGTCGACGAACCTGAATGCATAGCAGGAGACGATATTACCGTCGACGAACCTGAATGCATAGCAGGAGACGATATTACCCTGTCGACGAAACTGATCTGGCTTCTTTTGGGGTTCATGCGATTCCCTCCTTGTTTTATTTTTTACCCTGATTTGTATCGTCTTAATCATGTTAATCATGTTAATCATGTTAATCATGTTAATCGATTTATGAGATTTTAACATCGGTTAACTACTGTTGGCTAAATTGAACAAGTTCGTCGGAGTGAGTAAACTGTATCAGAGGTTGGGTTGAATTCAAACGATCTATTGACTTTGTTTTCTAAATTGATTTCAAATCTTAAGTGATAATCTTGTGGATTTTTATATAAAGTATGACCATAGACATGGATTAAACGAGCCATCTTATTTTTGAAATTAATCGGCTATTTTTCTTTTTCAATTCAAGTGAAGCTGTTATGGCAGAGGAAAAGATTTACAAAAGTCATGATCAGTAGCCCAGGCAACTACATTTCAGCTGATAATGTTCATGTTGCTAATATCTTAATAGTTTATACTATGACCGGTTTGGGCCTTTAGAAGGAAAAGTTATTTAAATCCCCAGCTTAGCCACTGTAGAAAAAAGTTGAATGGAAAACAACATGAACAAAGTTACCTGTCAAATTGCATTTCAGATATATACACAATAAGAGACTGTCAACTGCTAGGAAACACGTACAAGTGTATTTTTCTCTAACAATTTGGTGGCCTTCTGCCCATTTACCATATGTAATATGAAATACATGATGTATACCTTCCTGTTTTAAGGCACCTACATGTACATGAAATTTTATTAAACTCATTTGGTATTGGCTAACATCTAAGATTGGATGGAATTCCGCGTCTCCAACTAAGGCACTGTTTAAGTGTGACTTGCCTCTGTTCAAATTTTACCTTGCGAATACAAATGTATCAAAACAAATGGAGTGCTCCCTTTGACAATAAAATATCAAAAGGCATGCCAACTTTTAAAATATATGTAAAAACTAACTTTTATCAATCGTATTCTTTAAAACAAAAATCAATTGATATACTAGTACACTTTTGCATTACACTTTGTTTCAGAAAGTCTCCAAAAATTAATGTATCTCATATAGTGCAATTTCTATTTGCTCTCTCTGTATTTAATAGCGCAGGAAGATAGTCGTTCATTAAAAAAATACTTAACAGATAAATGATAAGCTAGTCTGATAAAGATATCTTATCTGATAAGATTGCGTGAGTTTACATGAAGTGTTTATTCCTTTCCCAATTTTAATTATTATTGTAGGGAAGGGTAACAATAGACGAAGCAGAAAAATAAATCAGCTGCTTGAAAAAGGTAAGTTTATTAAGTAAGCTTAAATGAAATCCGTTCATTACAGTAATGACATGTTTATGTAAGTCAAAGCATGTGAAAAGAACACATTTTACATAAAGTCAAACCTCAATATCAAGGTCATCCTTTCAGAGATTTCATATATATTTTTTATTTCCACTGACGGCTAGCGACAAAATTTTACCAGGTGCAACAGGTTTTTTTTTCGGTCATCTGCTTTGAATACTTCATAACCTTTCACAAAATACATGTCCGACTTTGGGTATATGTATGACGGAAAATACTTAATATTGTCTTTACTCACGCCACGTCAGAATGGTTTTAGTAGAAGGACATATACCAAGTTTCTTGTGTAAATTGATTGGTGAACTATTAGTCTCCGATGGTATCAACAACCCAGTAGTCCGTACTTCGGTACTCACATGATTTATAAAGTATTTTTTCTAAAATTCCCGTTGAATTAAATTAAGAAATTAAGAAGAAACTAAGGTTCCAACTCACTCAGGCAAAGTTGACCTTGGCTGAATTTGGCATTTTTTTGTCCCTTTTGGTCATTAAGATCCTAACGTTTCCTCGTATTTATATATACCTAGCTTTCAAATTTTTGGGTTTGAAGCGTCCCCAAAGAAGGTTAATCCAGAAAAGCGCTTCTGAAGCGCGAAATTTATACTGTTTCGGTACTTATACATCCCTCGGATTTCAAATGTTTGGCATTGAGCGTTCCTGATGAAGGTAAATTCAGAAAAGCGCTTCGGACGCATGAAATTATTTAACGTGTTGTTTTCAATTTTTTATAAAGTGTTATTTTCATTTACTTGGGCAATACTTAAGAGATTGAATGGCACAGACTACACATATATGACGTATTCTGCAATAACATTTTATTTTATAAGACGGAGTCATTCATATACTTCGACCTCAGCTAACTGCAGATAGTTATCTGCAGAGTTCGCCTCCATAATCTGTAGTTTGACATAACGAGCCTCAATTGGCTGCCTACAGACAAGAATGACAAGTTCCCCATTTGTAGCCCTTCCTTTGTAATGACCACACAAACTCATTCCTGACAAAGACTTTCCAGCAGTAACATCCAAGTTGTAAAGTCTATGTCCTATAAATAAATAAATAAATATATATATAATATATCACAACTGTCGATGGCTTAAGATACATGTATATTTTGATTAAATTTGTCATCGATAAACATATGTTGTTTCTGATTTTTCTTTCTTTTTGAACGGCAGCACTTAACCAACAGCTGTTGTTAGCTTCCTGTAGTAGCGAGCACAATGTGGTTTTCAAATTTTGTGCCGTATTTTATTTCCTTGTTCAAGTTAGGGGTCATCCTTTTGATAGTTGGACTGTGTCGGTTTTCTTATTGTGTGTTTTACCTTTATGACATATGATCTAGAGGCAGAGGGGGAGGTTGTTCGCACGTAAAACTGGTTTAATCACATCTGATTTATTACCTGCACCAAGTCAGCTCAGTAGTCAGTACATCGGTACTGACATGATTTATAACAAACCCTTCTAAATTGTCCGTTAATAAATTTTGATATTATAAAGAAACTAAGGTTTCAACTCCCGCAGGCAAAGTTGACCTTAGATGAATTCGGCTATTTGTTTTAGGTGTTTTTAGTCATATAGCTCTTCAACTGTTTCGGTACTTATACATCCCTCGGATTTCAAATGTTTGGCTTTGAGCGTTCCTGATGAAGGTAAATCCAGAAAACCGCTTCGGACGCATGGAATTATTTAACGTGCTGTTTTCAATTTTTTTCAGGCTATATGGACCATGTCTTTTTCGTTATATGTCTTATTTTCGGGAGAGTTTTGACTGTTGTACTGTACAATGTTTTGGGAAATTCCTGTTATCCTTTTCGTCTCGCCTGTTACGAATGTCAGTTTGTGAACATAGGGATTCTAATCCGGTGCTGGTGGGGTAGGCTCTTTTAACGAGGCGTCATATTTCTGAAGGAAGAAGACCTGGATGCTTCATTACTTGTTTACATATGCCTCATGTTCTGAAGTTTCCGTCTGACATTTTGTTTTTACAATTTTTTAAAGAAAGTATGAGTAATTTGACAACTATATTTGGTATTCAGATATATTGCAAGGGTATACATGTCTGTCAGACAAGGATCGCCTAACCTTGCTTCAAATTCATGAATCAGTTACATTTCGTGCTAAGGTCGATTTCTCGGACACTATAAGAAATAGGTCAACTGTATTAGGTATATAGAATGAAAGGATCTAACCTTGACCTCATGTTATGAATATGAGAAGCATTCTGACGTGTAATGGCTGCAACCAAATCTCGATAATAAATATAAATTTTATTTTATAAATTTAGTGCGTCAGAAGTGCTTTTCTTGATTTACCTTCAAACCCAAACATTTTAAAGCCAAGGTTGTATAACTAGTTGAGTACGTGAGGAGCTATAAAAAAGATAAAGGAGGGTCTTGATGGGTCGGACTACATTTCTGTATTCTTTATTTTTTGTATGACCATTATTCTCTATTCTTAGTATTTTAGAACCACATTATTAGCCTTTTTTTATTTTTTTTTTTGCTAATTGTTCTCTATTCCTTTTTTTGTCCGTTTTTTTTTATTCTGTAAAGCCCATCCAGACCCTCATAACGGTCGTTAAACGTCAAAAAGATTTCCTGGTTGTGTCATTGTTGGATATTCTTGTCTGTTTCATATTTTTAATGGTTTTAGAGAGACTCACACAGTCTAAGATGTCTCAGCAAGAAAGGTTGGATGAGACAGTGATTTCTTTTATTTTTGCGCTATTTTTACATTTCTTGATCGGTGTGAGAAAAATATTTCTCCTCACTAGTGAAATATCTGTTCTCGGCAAATTATTGGTCGAAATTTAATTATGACGTCAAATTTTCTTGGTTTTTCTGAATTTCCTAATGTGACGTCATGAAAAAATGCGACCATGCCTGATGACGTCACATATAAAGAACACAACTTTCTGCAAATTTGTGAAAAGGAAGGATAAAAATCATTAGAGAAACAGATTCCACCACTATTACTCGTGTATTACGATATTTTTCCACTCTCAACAGTTAAAGTTTAATTATTTAAAAAGCTCGGCAAGCCTCGCGCTTCAGATATTAAAATTTAACTGTCTCGAATGGAGAAATATCGTAACACACTTGTTGCAGTGGTGAAATCTATATATATCAGTTCACTGCAACTACTAGATTCGTTGTAGCTAACTACTAACAAGATTCGAAAGGAATTCCTCAAATCCTTAACAATCGCGCGAAAGATACATCAACCACAAAATGTAACACCTTGGTGAGAAATGAGTCTCAAAACTTTGTCAGCCGCAGATGATATTGCTCTTTGGCAGAATCTAGTATTTACAGATTAAATTGTACTTTTTCAAAACATAATATTTTTAAACACCTGATCGACCGGAGTTCGTTACTGATTTATTTACGGATGGTATTTAACGCTACAGCATTTATTATAGTATCAATAAATCCGTTAAAGTAACCTTTATTACTTATCATTCCAATAACAAAAATTATGTTCAGATCAAAAATGTTATCAAAACTTAATGAAATATTCGTGTGTGTGGGAATTCATGTTCGTGACGTCACGAAACGAGTTAAAACATTTATAAACTTGTTTTTGGTTGCCATTGCTGCTCAGCAATAAAATAAGACTTTACATGAAACATTGAAATTATATTTACAGGATTTTCTTTGAACGAGGAAACCGAATTACTGGCCGGGTATTGCTGAACTACTGCAAAAACTAAGTGTTAAATGGCCTTTGTATAAATAGTTGAGTACGTGAGGAGCTATTAGGTCAAAAATGTAAATTTCATTATTTCTTTGACGTCACAGGGACATCACAACTAACATTTCTTTTCTAAAGTGTCCAGATTATATTATCCTATTACTTTATCGATGAAACTATGATTTAAGAATTTTGATATTTTGGGCATATCAAGGGTAAGCAACTAGTTCTTTTCAAACCTCCTTCTTTCACTGTTTCCCGCTTCAGATTTTTGACCAAACTAGTACGTTTTATTATAATTTTAAAGTGAAATGGTCCATATCTACGTTTTTATTTCTATAATTAATACTACCAGAGGACAATCTGTTGTAGACTTCAACACGGCGGATTTTGTAAGTGTTTCCTAAGTCGACCCACCAAGATGGTTTGCTCGTTCCATAGTTAACTCCATTCCTGAAACCGGTATGTCCTGTGTGAGAAAAGGTTACTACGTTCCCATCAACAGCGTGGCTACATGCTTCTAAATAAGTAGAACTTTGTCCACAGTTCTTCTTGTATGCAAGGTTGAATCTACCAAATTCTGTTAAAGATAAAAACATTAGGACAGGGAAAATTTTTGTTAGCATAATTTTCGTTGAAATGAAACAAACCAATAGTGTCTTATCCACCATTTTCTACATAAGAAAATGTCTGTACCAAGTCAGGAATATGACAGTTGTAATCTATTCGTTTGATGTGTTTGAGCTTTTGATTTTGCCGTTTGATTAGGAACTTTTCTTTTTGAATTTTCCGTCTGAGTTCAGTATTTTTCTTATTTTACTTCATACATGTAATACAACAGTCGCAGTTCCAGGGGGCGTAGAGGGCGTACGCCCCCCTTTTTTGGTCAATAAAATTTAAAATCTCATGTGTTTTTTACGATTTATGTAATTTTTTAGTATAACATCGTCCAAAATTTTGTTCGCCTATCTCCGCTAGGCAGTATATCTAAATTATCGGGAATAACGCCCCCTTTCAAAAATCCTGGATACGCCCCTGTATAAAGAGAGGAGTAAGTCATAAGTCGTGCCATAATCATATGAGTTAAATTCTAGAATCTGTAAATCAAAAAATCTTTATTGTCATATAAGCATAATGAACAAATTTAGCTTGTAAAATTTACACATATATTTTACAGTTTGTTAAAGTACTAAGGTCTCTTGTCCTAAGTAAACACGATAAAGTATAACCGTTTAAAATAGAGACTTTTCGAAAATTCCGATAATCATTTATCATCATGCATAGAGTGTATCTGCTTTTTGGTATCTTTACTAAAGTAAAGAATTTCACGGATTTTCAGGAAGACACTTGGCTCAAATTGAAGGAGATAAAGTTTAGACGGTGCAGGATGAGGTTGGTCTAGCATTAGCACTTCTACTCTTACAAGCATATGTCTTTTTAGGCGCTTATTTACAAATGCACTTTTGAAAATTAAATTATCCCAACCATAGAATGTTCGGGAATCCACAAATATTTATACTAGGTACTTAGACGTATCCAGCTGTGTTTAACGTTGTTTAGTCTGCAAATAACATCAATCAAGATCCTTTTTTATTCCGTGTAATCAATAAATACTGACAATTAACAAATTCAGTTTTCCCCGATACCTAATGTTATTAGTGTTGTCTTTCTTTGCATCGACGCAGAATATTTTGTGTGCTAGTAAATTTATTTTAAAACTGAAATTAAAAAAAAATTAAGGCTGATTCTGCTTTATTCATAGATATATATTTACAATTTCCTTCATTAGGGTCTGGATGGGTTTACAGAAAATAGATAACAGAAAAAATGACCTAAAACTTTATGGAATACAGTGAGGTGTTAAGATATAAGGAATAGAGAATAATTGGCGAAAAAAATTGATGATACAGAAAAATTATCAAACACGTAAAGGTTGGAGAAGTTGGCGAATAGTAATGATTTCGTAAATGTTGGCGAGGTAGGCGAAGTTGGCGAACAGTATTGATTTCGTAAAGGTTGGCGAAGTTGGCGAACATTACGAACTTTTACACAATCCTGTACCTGAATGGAAAACTGACTTGTCAGCAAGGGCGCCGCTTGCATATTTTGTGTGAGGCATAGAAACAAATAGTTAATACTCATGCAAGCAAAGCAATTCAAGTTCATGAGGTATAATTGTCTTAAATTTTGAGACAAGGAATTAATTCAGGATATGTTCTCATTCAATATAAAATGTTGTTAAAATCCAAGCACTATATATTTTGGCGGCCATTTTGTAAATAGTGGACAACCAATAAATTTTCACACAGGGAATCAATTTGGAATAGCAAATTTACCTACATGTATATTTTCATTCAGATCAAATTCAGATGATCTCAAAAAACTGTCATTTTTTAACAAAAATAAGTTTTTACAAAAATTTTGACATGGGGAATCAAATTAGAAAGCATATTATACCTGTATATCAATTTTCGATGGAAAAATTACACAATTTTTTTTTTTAATTTGTCATTTTTTAAACAAGAAAGTTTTACTCCAAATTTGACACCAAAAATTAATATGAATAGCATGTAATACCTATATTTCAATGTTGGTCGAAACCTACACATAAAAAGTAGTTTCTAAAAATATGTGATTTGTTTTACAAAAAATTAGCTAATACTACATATTTTATTTATTTTTGGCACTTACAATCATATTGGAATATCTTGTTATACTTTTATATCTATTTTTATTGAAATTCTAGCTCAAAAAGATGTTTTTAAAAATTTGTAATTGTTTTAACAAAAACTAAGTTCTTTACCCCAATTTTTGTCCAAATGTCACGAACATCGCAATGGATCTTCCTTTTATGGGTAGCTACACTGGAAAATTAAAGAAATATGTTGAAGAAATACTGACTTATTGGCTGACGGACAAAAAGACAGATAGTGCTTACTATAGAAATGGAGACCCACCTTCATACCCGCACTTGCGCGGGGTACTTTCTAGTTATTAAAGAAAGTAAATTAATGTATCAAAAGAGTAAAATACACCAAGAGAGCAATCGAAGACCAACGGTTAAAGAAAGACAGTCATCACCAAGACGAAAAGAAAAAGAACGAACAGATAAACAACAGTTCACAAAACACTACTAAAGATTGAACCTACTAAAAACAGAGGGTGAAAAAAATTGCAGAACATTCGTTGAATTAGGTTTCAGAGAATACAAGGGAATCATGCATTATTTATTTCAGTATGCCGATTTATATGTAAAATCTTGTTAAAAATATAGATTCACACATTTACTGATTGTATCAGTAAAATAAGACATAAGCAATATAACACCATAAATTGCAAAAACAATCTCTGATATTAGGTACATAAATGTTGCTATATGCTATGTACAAGATATAAACAATTTATTTTAAAAATTGGAAACAACACGTTTGACAATTTCATACCTCCGAAAAGCTTTTCTGGATTTACCTTCATCAGGAACGCTCAAAGCCAAACATTTGAAATCCGAGGGATATATAAGTACCGAACCAGTTGAAGAGCTATATGACTAAAAACACCTAAAACAAATAGCCAAATTCATCTAAAGTCAACTTTGCCTGAGGGAGTTGAAACCTTAGTTTCTTTATAATTTCAAAATTTATAAACAGACAATTTTAGAAAGGTTTGTTATAAATCATGTCAGTACCGACGTACTGACTTCTGAGCTGATGATACCCTCGGGGACTGATAGTCCACCAGCAGAGGTATCGACCCAGTGATGTAAAAAATTAATTGTATGTATTAATAATAGGAAGTGTACGGCAAACCAAAACTTTACAGTAAAGCAAATAAATGTAATACACATTGAATTTAAAGTCTGTTAATTATTAAACGTAACTGGTATCCCAAACGATTTTTTAAACTTCATGTTTCATAGCAATTTATAGAAAGAAATCGTTTTGTTAATCAAAAGACGACAAGGAAGTTGCAATATAAAGAACATATTGAAGAAAGGAAGCAGATAAACAAATAAATCCGAACTTTTAAAAAAATAATTGCAAGCTATGAAAATGACAGATGAATACTTTTATGAATAACAATCATTTTATGGTGTGTTCCTGAAATGTCTCACCTTTAGTACCAATTTGTGCTTTCAGAACTTTATTTTCTTTTTCCAGGGCATCAATCCTCCTTTGAAGGACACCATTCTCCTTTTGAAGGACACCAGTATCCCTTTGAAGAACACCCATCTTCTCTTGAACTTTATTGAATTCTGGAAACAAACCCAGAACTGATTCTGTCGCCTGACATCTAACAGCTGCAAGACAAAATACTATTAAGAATTGAACCTGCATAATTTTCGCTCGCTTCCACTTGAAACAACACTATATAATGTTTTATCATTGGGTTTCCAATTTATATAAGGCTACTACTGTTTCCTGATGAAATCGTTTTTATTCATGATTAATTGTTATGTGTGTCATATTTATATCTATTTTTATCTACTTTGATAGTAAAAACTTAAAATCAGATCATATTGAATGTTGTTGAGGTTACAATATTTCCTTTTATTACGATATATCGATAAATCGATAAATGTTATTACTAGTATATTTTATTTCATTGGCAAAACTCAGTTGTAAGGGGGACAGAGTGAGCAAAAAAAAAAGTCGAAGAAAAATAGAAAACACCATGGTTAAAAGAAAAAACAACGAAACAGATAAAAAACACTCCATAAAAGAGGGACGAGAGATACCAGAGGGACAGTCAAACTCATAGATCGAAAACAAACTGACAACGTCATGGCCAAAAATAAAAAGACAAACAGACAAATAATAGTACAGATGACACAACATAGAAAACTAAAGACTAAGCAACACGAACCCCACCAAAAACTGGGGGTGATGTCAGGTGCTCCGGAAGGGTAAGCAGATCCTGCTCCACATGTGGCACCCGTCGTGTTGCTTATGTTATTACAAATCCGGTAAATAGTCTAATTCGATAAGTCACATCCGTGAAAAGGGAAGGGTATTGTAGTTACGACATAAGGAACATATCCGATATCATCTGTGAAACGGTTATTCCATAACGGTCAACCAACTCGTGATGGCGTCCGTAAAATTTACGAAGGGATGACTTCAACTTCACCATTTGGAACTCTTGGTTTAATAGCTTCCTTGTGAGCAGCAATCCTCTATCAAGGAAATCATGATAGGAAACACAAGCCCGGGAATATCGTATCAATTGGGAGATATATACTCCGTATGCAGGCGCTGCTGGAATGTTGCTACATAGAAATGGAAAGTTCACAATTGGGAAGCTGAAATCATCTCTTTTGTCGTAAAGTTTTGTTTTCAACCGACATAACAAACTTTAGGTTAGGCAACACGAGCCAGACGACAAACCGAGCTTAACTCGGTTGCTCCGGGAGTGTAAGCAGTTAAAACTGCAATTACTGCTAAAAAAGTTAATCTGATTTTCAAATGTGGAAATAAATCTCAGCAATGGGTACATTTCTGCATTACAGTAACCATATTATATCATCCTATTAAACTGTAAATGATATTTTAATACGGAAAAGATGAAGAAGTTAACTAATTTCGTAGTTTTAGGACCAATAATGGTTCTATTGACACCTCATTCTTTAACGGTTTTAGCAAAATACGGTCAGCAAATTTCAGAGACCGATAATGGCTCTAACATAAATCATTTGTTTGTAGTTTTAGCAAAATACGGCCAGCTAATTTCAGAGACCGATAATGGCTCTAACATACATCATTTGTTTGCAGTTTAGCAAAATACGGCCAGCTAATTTCAGAGACCGATAATGGCTCTAAAATACATGACTTTTTTGCAGTTTTAGCAAAATACGGCCAGCAAATTTCAGAGTCCGATAATGGCTTCTACATACATCATTTGTTTGCAGTTTTAGCAAAATACGGCCAGCTAATTTCAAAGACCGATAATGGCTCGAACATACATCATTTGTTTGCAGTTTTAGCAAAATACGGCTTGCTAATTTCAGAGACCGATAATGGCTCTAACATACATCATTTGTTTGTAGTTTAAGCAAAATACGGCCAGCTAATTTCCGAGACCGATAATGGCTCTAACATACATGATTTGTTTGCAGTTTTAGCAAAATACGGTCAGCTAATTTCAAAGTCCAATAATGGCTCTGACATACATTATTTGTTTGCAGTTTTAGCAAAATACGGCCAGCTAATTTCAGAGACTGGTTATGGCTCTAACATACATCATTTATTTGCAGTTTTAGCAAAATACGACCAGCTAATTTCAGAGACCGATAGTGGCTCTAACATACATCATTTGTTTGCAGTTTTAGCAAAATACGGTCAGCTATTTTCAGAGACCGATAATGGCTCTAATATACATCATTTGTTTGCAGTTTTAGCAAAATACGGTCAGCTAATTTCAGAGACCGATAACGGCTCTAACATACATCATTTATTTGCAGTTTTAGCAAAATACGACCAGCTAATTTCAGAGACCGATAGTGGCTCTAACATACATCATTTGTTTGCAGTTTTAGCAAAATACGGTCAGCTATTTTCAGAGACCGATAATGGCTCTAATATACATCATTTGTTTGCAGTTTTAGCAAAATACGGCCAGCAAATTTCAGAGACCGATAATGGCTCTAATACATTGAAGAGCACCAATCCTTTCTTGATTTTCATTGAATTCCGGGAACAAATCTAGAACAGATTCCGTTGCCTGACATCTTACAGCTGCAAGAAAGAAAACAAATGTAAGAAATTTGGCCTGCATACTTTTCGCTTCTTTGCACTGGAAGCGAAAGGACACTCATTGGGATTCTACTGTTGTTTCCTGTTCCTGTCATGTATATGCATAGTAATTAGTTAGTAAGCTAGTTGTGGGTGGTTCACATCCCAGACAACAACTTATTAAAACTTAGCTTAATAAATTTAGATCAACTTTGATAGTAAAAAATTAAATAATCAGGTAATATTGGATTTTTGTTGACAATTTCCTTTTATTGAGATCATTGTGATAAACATTTCTTTTTTTTTTGTATAGTAATATAATATTTCTTAAAGGTGTAACGCAAAGTTAACGTGCAATATCATACATTGTGCTATTGAAAACATAGTTTGAAACAATCGCCGTCAATTGTTACAAAAATATGTTTTTAACCAGTTTTTCAAATTTTTACAACAAAAGGGTTTTTTGCCTGAATATTGGTGAATATCGTCTCTCGTAGAATATATATTTAACTCGCAAGCTCGTGCAATATAAGAATCTACTTGGGTCGGTATTCACCATTACTCATTCAAATACCCTATATCATTTTATATAAAAATGTTGAAAGGGGATCCATCCGGGGGAAGCAATCAAAAACAAGTCGAAGAAACACCATCGCCAAAGAAAATGATGACAAACAACAGTCTACAAATCACTAAAACAGGAAACATTGATCAATTCAAAACCCACCACAAACCTGGCATAACTCAGTTGTTCCGGAGATAAGAAGTTAACTTAGAATTGCAACTACTGCTGCTAAGATACTTCATCTGATTATGAAATATGAATAAATAGATAAATATCTTGTAATTGCTCATATATCAAACTAGAATGTATCATATTGCCACTCTTCTTTTTTTCCTTTAAATTCACAAAGTTTTATCAATCTATAGATAGCTAGCTTGTCGCAATAAACCATTTTTTTGAGTTAGCAGCGATAAATGATTCATAATAAAAAAACAGTTGATATCAACATATTTGCATGTAAGTCTATTATTCATATTCATTTAACCAAAAACTAGATGGATATAACTTAGGAAAATATGTTAATTTTGTCATGTTTATCATTATGATCTCTAATGGACATCATTAATTAAAAGTCTGCGTTAAGCAACCATAATTTATCATCCTGTCCATTTCTCAATAATACTAATACAATTCGGAAAGATTAAGAACATGAAGAAGTTCTATTTTTTTGTATTTTACGGGCCAAAAATGACTCTTAGCATACCTCATCCTTTCGCAGTTTTAGCAAAATACGATCAAACTGCTAGAAATGGCTAGGATTCTCAATTAACAACTGTGTAGTTTTTTAATGTCTGTAAAAAATGAATTCCGATCAAACAGTACAACTGCAAGGGCTATGTGAAAGTGCAGCGAGTTAAGAACATATTTCGTCATGTTGAATGTTACATTGTGAGACGAAGAAGAACCAAACAAGCGATGTGCCTTTGTATTTAGTTTTTTCTTGTGAGTGTATAGTGATTTTATGTTATAATTTGGCAATTATATGCATTCATTCCCATTGAATACCATATTCATTTTTGTTGACTCCATTTTCATATTACTCGATAGATCAATTTACAATAGAAACATTTTCTTTTCATTTTGACATGGCATTTCTAACCGAGTAGTATACTTGTCTATATTACATACCAATTATATGTCCAAAATATCACAAGAGTTTGTGCGATTTCAAGACACGACGAAAATACAGTCTTTTTAAGCTTTTTGTCCTGTTACTAGTACGTAGTGAACTAATATGAACTTTGTATTTCCTGACAATGTAAGTGTCTTGTTTTGTATCCTGCAACTTTTAAAACATCGATACTGAAAATTGTATTTGTTTTATTCAGAACGTTTTACAGTATGAAAATGCATAGGATTATGTTTTATTGTTTTATATATCCCGAATCGAAAGTAAAGTCTATTTAATACATAAGGATCTGAAAATCTGCATCTATCAAAAGACAGAACGGACAGTTTAACTTGGCTTCGACATTCAAAATACATAGCAAAATAATACTGAATACCGGTTAAATTATAAACTCATAGCAGGAGACGCTCGGCCTGTTGATGCATCCGGTATCGCTTAAACCAGGTTTAATCCACCATTTTCTACATAGGAAAATGTCTGTACCAAGTAAAGCACATGACAGTTGTTATCCATTCTTTGATGTGTTTGAGCTTTTGATTTTGCCATTTGATTAGGGACTTTCGGTTTTGAATATTCCTTGGAGCTCGGTATTTTTGTTATTTTACTTTTCGCTACTCTTTGAGCTCATGCGGTTCCCTCGATTTGGGTATGTTACATTGATTAAAAGCGGTTTCAACTTTGGACGCGTGAAATTAATAACGTGTTGTTTTCATTTCTTATATCTTTTTGGTCGATTTATGAGATTTGAACATTGATCATATGCTGTTGTATAACTTCAGACTTTTCTGATCTTTTAATGTCACTAAAATTCGGCTTGCAGTTAGACTGGGCATAGATATAGATTCTAACAAAACAAATTATAGGTATTCTTTTTTTATCTTCGGACTGTGAAGAGAAAAGTATCAATTTGACATTAAATTCGAACATAATCAAGGTGAAATGGTCCGAGGCACTGGCTGAACCTCCCCGTGATCTTTCAATCTTTAAGAACTAGGTATTATATAGAAAAGGATTTTAATTAATTG